AAAAAAAAAAAAAAAAAAAAAAAAAAAATCCTCAAGACAAAGGGACCATCCTTTTCCAAGACAACAGGCAAGGAACAGGAGGAAAATCTCCCTCAGCAGATGGGTGGAAGCAAGCCTGTCCTTTTGTGGCCTGGCTCTTGGCACATTGAATCTACCCCCTTACCCATCTCAGCTCCTGGCCAAGACAGGGTGGGCCAGATGCAAGAGCACACACGGCTCCTCCAGGCACGTGGTTAAGTGATGAGAAAAACAAGTCCCTCTGGGTGAAATATGGCAAATTTTCTGAGGCATGGCAAAGTCGATCTCTTTGGCCCTCATAAGGTAAAGCAGCAACTAAGGAGCCTTCTGAGGGTCTCACTTGGGACCCTGTTCTGTCCACAAGATTGTAAGAAAGTGCATCCTTAGCTCACTTAAACTTCATTTGAAAAGAGCAGACACTACTTGCAAAAGGCCCATCACAGATTAAAATACTTCATACCAAAGAGTTCCAGCAACTCGAAAGTCTCAATTCTCTGACCTGACTGACGGAAAGGGTGCTGACAGGACCTGGCTCAGCAGGGATTATGTCGTCACATTGTTCTTCCAAGTCACCTCAGCGAGGCAAAGAAAGGCAAGTGGTCCGTGATGAAGCCCTGCAGGAGGATCACCAGTACCAACTGTAGGTGGGAAAGGAGCCCATCGGGAGGCTCCAGAATAACAGGCCCCAGAGCAGCCTCGGCAGCTCTTCCTTCATCCACCTGCCTGCCTGCCCCTGCCACAGAGAGGGAAGTTCTGGTCCCCTCGAATCTTGACAGCGAGCAAACTGTACAGAAAAAATCCTGAGGAAAAAAACAAACCCTATGATGCTACCTAAAGGGAAGAGTATTTCAACTTGCTTACACAGATTTAGTCAGTAAATTCCAGACAGTAAGAAATATATAAAGAGACAGCCCATGGGAGAGGACAAAAGAGTGAATACTGCTGTGATGCACACGTGGATCTTAGACACTTGTCCCATGGGCTTCTGGTGCTGTGCGTCTCTGCTGTCCCAGTGAGGCCTTCCATGCGGCCAGGGTCAGGAGCCAGAGCTCAAGACTGGGACAGCAGAGTCCCGGAGCTCTACAAAGCAATACTCAAACAGCTCCATACGAAAAATGTCATTTACATTGTTACTGATATATAATATCTTGAAGTAAGGAAAAAAGCACCATTTTACTGAAAATAAAAAAGGCTCACGCAGGCTTTGGTCCTCTGAAATGGCCCTTGGGCAGCAGGGAGACGACGACACACACTAAGAAGGGACACCAGAGGGTGCCAAGAGCGCAGAGGGCGAGCGCGGGCTGGCGAGGGGCCCCGGCCCATCAGGGGACGGAAACGCCTGCTTAGAGGCCAAAAGGGGAGTTGGCACTGCTAGGCAAGTCCGTAAGACGAGGACACTGGCAAAGGAAAAGGGCGGTATTCAACTGCGGCCTTGTCACTTCCTCTGCAGACCTTAGCCACAGAGGGCTGGGGCAGGGAGCTGAGGCCCACTCTTCCCCGAGAACTGCAGGTGGGCGAGAACAGAAAAGCGCAGTGACTGCTCTTTTTTCAAGGGATGAAAACGGACAGTTTCTTGGATGCTGTCCTTCACATACATACTCAGGCCCCCAAAAAAGCAAAGAGTACATTTTCTTGCCCAGATGCATAACTTGGCATTGACTACACCACGAAAAGCAAGAGTCTGTCTTTGTGGGCTGGCTTCTGCACTACAGCTTAGAAGGGACGGGCACAGAATATTATCATTAACTGGCTCACGAGTAATAGTCACCTTAGGTGAACACATGCTAATACGTCTCACAGAATGGGGGTGGGGGGTGACAGCTTAGAATCCAAGTGTGAAGGTGGGAAGATGTCTTGCCAAACCTTACTACGAGAGCCTGCAACCAGTGAGAGAGAACTGCAAAGACCGCAGCAGAGAAAACAGCAGACAGCACAAAGGGTACCATTTGTCTTGCCAAACCTTACTACGAGAGCCTGCAACCAGTGAGAGAGAACTGCAAAGACCGCAGCAAAGACCACTAAGACTGTCCCTTGTTTCAAAGTCAATCAAGTCATAAGGAGATGACAGAAATCCACGAGTACAACAAATGCAAGGGCTAAAACCAGAAGATGAGCTTATCATGAAAACCATCTAACCCACTTCTGTTGTTCAGATACCATCAGCCAACCCACCAGATCAGATGTCCTCCTGACAAAGGCAGCACCTCTGAACCCGGGATAAAGGACACTTGAACTTAAAGCATGAGCAGAAGGACCAGATGGAGGAGCAGAAGGACCAGATGGAGAAGCAGAACTGAAATCATCATTGGACTGCTTAAGAATCTCTTGAAAACTTCCAAAGAAAACAGGTCTCTAGACCTGTGGGCCCCTGGCTGTACTGGTGACCTTTGACCTGGCTCCTCCTGGGAGCTGGGGCCAGGGAGCAGCCTGGCTGAGGCACACTGGTGCCCGGCCGGCCGTGAAGCCACACTGAGGGCTGCTGACAGCCGTCAAACCAGTGCTGGAGCCCCAGAGGCTGGAGTCCCGGGGCAGGACGTGAAGACAGACAGGAGTCACTTGTGAGGCACTGCCGCTCCACAGACACTTGACGGAGGCCCACAGCCCCTCCTCTGCCCCGGCATTCCCGAGCAGCAGCAGCATGGCGGAAGGGAGCCCGGGAGAGGAGGTATGGATGAGGTACCAAAAGAGGAACTGACATCTTTGGGTTTTTAAAATGAAAACTCAAATCTAGAGGAAGTGAGAAAATTAAAAAAGGAGAGAATTAAATCTGAATCGATGGACAGGAAAATATGGCTTACTAACCCCCCCCATTTTGCATTCAATTTTACATCAACAAAGAAAAAAAACAAAAACACCCCAACTTAGCACAACGCAGTCCAAATGTTTGCAACCAAAGGTTTATGAAAATATTTCAGTTGAAATCAGTTTTAAAAGCATAAAACAAAATAAAACAAAGCTTTTGATGATTCCCTTCTCAACATTAACTGGCAGATCTACTCTCAGACAGACTTTAGAGTATTCCACACAGCATGTTCGGAATTCAGATTTATTGATTTCCACGGTACTGACTTTAAAAATGGTATGAAGCTGACTGCAAGAAAGGGAATTGGTGATTTTAAGTTAAAATTAAGCTAATGGTGAAAGTACATCACCTCTGGCTTCAGTCACCACAGCGCCTCAGATTGAATAGAGATTGTTTTTGTGAACAAAGTTCCAGAATTCTGAAATCCAGGATGCTGCAGGTCTCTCTCCCGCAATGTCCTTCACTTTGGGTCAGTCTCCTGGGCCAGAGGTGAAAGTGCTTTCAAAAATACTGCCATTTGCCCAGCACAGTGTCTTTGATTGCATCCACATATTGAGTTGGAACCCAGTACACCCAGTAGTAAGAGGCTTCCGTGGGGCCCAACTGAAACGCCTGGAAGGGAAAAAGGAAAACCAAGCGGTACTTCAGAGGTGGGATGACCAAACAGGTAGAACACAGACATGGGGAGGGGCGGGAAGTGAATTCATTAAAAAGGAAAGATAAACAAAATGAGGCTGTGCATAGGGGGAGCATTCGCTTACAATTTAAAAAAAAACAAAACAAAACATGAAAAGAGTTCAGCATGGCGAACCTCAGTGCAGCCACTCAAACCACTCAAACACCAGAGCCATGGAGGGCTGTGCAAACAGAGCTGTGGGCAGATGAAGGAGGGGTGGGCCTGAGAAGCTACCATCAGCTCCTCAGGGCTGCACACTGCCCACCAGGGACTGGAGTGAGAACTACTGGCCTAGAAAACCTGTCACACATGTCTAAGGAAACAGTCCTCAAAGCAGCGTTGCCCAAAATTACAAAATCCTGCCAACAACCTACATACCCATCGTATGGGGATGCGTAATTCAAGTGGTGTGGCAGTCATGCCAACACGGGAGGACCTGACAACAAGTGCGACTGGATCCTTACGATCTCAAGGTTGATACACCACATCACAACGTGGAACCAAAAAAAGCAAGTTCAGAAAGGGACATACCATGACAGTGCTAGGAAATCTGAAAAACAGAACAATACCTGACCCTGTTCACGGATACACATATAGACAACGCATCAACAGATGGGAAGAATACACAGGAGAACTGCAGTCAGGGGAGCAGGGAGGGGAAAGCAACGGGGACATCATCACTGTTGGTACAGTACACTCTTTATTTAAAAAAGATTCAAAGCAAGTTACAAAGTATTTACAACTTGTCAATTCTCCGTGATGGACATACGGGTTATTGTATTCTGTCCTTTTTAGAACATATCTCTAAAAATGAAAGTGCACAGCCACATTTTTCTAATTATGAACTGCGACATTAATCTAGCTAGACAAATGGCATCTAGAAAAAGAGGAAGTAAATACTTTCATTAGGACAAAAGTAAAAATGCTATTTACAGTGTTTAGAAAAGAGATGGGGGCTGTTGGAATCATCCTCTGCCAGAAATGACTCCCAGGAGAAAGGAACATTCCAACCAAACGCATAGCCCTTCCCACCCACACCAACTTGTGGGATGCCCAGGGTGCTCCGTCCAACTCGCACATCCCTATCGCCAGGCTGCCTCCAGACCAGGGCCGCGAACCCTACAGGCTCAGCCTGTTCACACAATGTTTTAAAAAGGAATAAGTGGGGCCAGTGATTTAGCTCAGCGGCACCACACCTGCCTTGCAAGCCCAAGGTCCTGAGTCCAATCCGGTACCGTCAAAAAAAAAAAAAAAAAAAAAAAAAAAAGGAGTAAGGGGCCCAGCTAACAGTATTAAAATCCAACTTCATGTTAAAACAGAAAAATAACAGGCCAGACAAGCTGTCTGCAGTTCTGTTTTAAAGACTGCAGAAAGATCAGGGGCAGAAGGGACTAGCTGGGGATCATCACTGCCAGGAACAGTCCAGGTGCTTACCCACTGGGGACACAGTCCCAAACAGGACCACCATTGGCCTTGGTGAGCTGACAACACTTACAGGGCTGGAAGCCCACTGCACTTCCATCCTGCCTATAACGAGAGGTCTCGCAACACCTGTGGTGTGCACAGCTCACAGCACTGCCCTGTTCCTGGGATGGGGATGGCACAGCTGTACTGCAGCAACAGGACGCAGAAAGACCTGCCTCCTCAGAGGGAGCATGGCAGACAACCCTGCCCTCACAAGACTGCTACTTCCGGTCGATTCCCGTCAGGGTAACTTAGGAGTCTAGGTAGCTAAACTTTATTTCTAAAGTGGCCTCCAGAAAGTGCAGGGAAAAGAGAGCCTGGCCTGTGCTGCTCATCTCACCGGATCACTGAACTCCTTGCTACACGTTGCATGGACCCGCAGAGCGCCTGCACACACACTGCCTTGGGGAAGTGTGGCCTACTGCAGAGCAAAGCTCCATGCACAACAGATGCACCTCGGGCCCTGTCCCTCACAGGAACCCCAGCCACAACAGGCACAGTCTGGCACGAGCAGGGCCACAAAAGAGAGAGACTGCCTGGTGTCTTCATAGCTCCGAGGCTGGGGGGAGGGGGCTCTTTCTATTACCAAGACAAAATTAAAAATGAAAAACCATAAGCCATTCTTCCTCTTTATTTTCCTGGTCTAAAAACAAATAGGAGAAGCTTAAGAAACATTTCTAAAACAGGGCAAGAGAAAACCCCTTTAATCTGCTGAAGGTGGGAAGAATAGGGTCATGAATTAAAATCTACATTGATGGAGAAAACACGAGGGCCTTAGATACACCCTCCACCCCGTTTTTGAGACTGGATCCTGCTACGTAGCCTAAGCTAGCCCCAAACATGTGCTCCTCCTGCCACAGCTTCCCAGGTGCTAGGATTATAGGCATGGGCAACCACACCAAGCTTTTCCTTAAAAGCTTTTTGAAGTTCTCTCTTCAATCACAAAAGCTCAATTTTGAATCCATTCCCTGCTAGGTAAGCGGAAGCAGAGGCCTAAAGACTGGGCTAACTGGGGTACTCACCATCATGTGGTAGTCTTCATGTCCTTCGATAGGTTCACTGACCACATTTTTAATGGAGCCCATGGGCAATTTCTCAGTCCGCTCTAGATTGAGAGGGATGACAGTGGTTATTCAAAAGTCTTCCTGTTCTAACTCCTCTGCCTCAGCAGCCCCTCCCTCACCAGGGCTGGGGACCTACAGGGGAATGACTGGTATAGCCCCCTAAGGAACACGGGACACCATCTGCTGATCAGTGCCCCGAGATCTCTGCTTGGGAACTGGGAACTCCTTAGCAGCAAATAGGAACTGGGACTGACAATGATATAGTAAAGGTCTCTGAGAGCAGAGACAGGTCTTTCCTAGTGTTAGGGATTTTTTTCCTTAGTGTGTGCCTATTCGTGTTTTTCCTGGTGTTAGTTTTTAAATTCTGATGATTAATAAACACCCAAGAAACTATTTTATATTCTCATTGCCCAAGCCCAAGCACTGGTTAAGGTCTTAAGACACCTAGAATAGGGAGAGACAAGAGCCCACAAATAAAGATGCAGCAGAGTCTTACAAGGAGGGAGCAATGCTCGGGCTTTCGGGCTACTTCCTATACCATGATCCTGCTGCCCCTCTGTCTCCCTCCCTCCCCTCACCCTGTATGCAGACACATTTTACAAAGTTCTTTCAAACATTTATAACTTCATGTGGTCAACACTAGAGATACCACTAATTACATGGGGCTAGAAGACATTTTGCAGCAAGTTTAAGGATGTTGGGCAAGAAAGAGGGGGCGGTGCGGGGTGCCTGGAGATGAGCCAACAGCAGGACTGGTGCAAGAGCAGGGATGGGAGCACCTGCACCATAGGAAATGATGCCCAGAAGCAGCAGACACCTGAGATGCAGGCAGGCATTTCTCTGCAAATAGTTAAATCAAAGTGAAAGACTCATTACAGCCTCTGCAGAAAGGAAAATCTGAAAATGTAGCAAGTGAAAATAGGTAAGTTGCCAAACAGTCTTGGAATTGAGACCTGCGTTCTAGTCCACCTGGTTACCTAAGACAATTTATGTCCATTTTGGAGGATGTGGTTTCTCTTTCTGAAAAAGTGGCAATTTGGAAGAAGGGACCAACAGATATTCACTCAGGTTTATACTTTTTGTGGTTCTTAACAGTGGCCATAGGTACAAAATCTATAGCTGTCTTCAAGATGGAAACTTTTGCACGGCGTGGTGGTGCATGCCTGTAATCTCAGCACAGGGAAGCAGGAAGATCACTATGAGTTTGAGACAAGCCTGAGGTACATAGTGAGCTTAAGGCCAGCCTGGACTGCACGGCAAGACCCCGTCTCAAAAAGCCAACAAAACAAAACCTTTTAAAACATTCAGCTTGAAATGTCTAGAGATGTCACATAAAGATATGCATTTCTGGCTTCTCTTGAAAACTCCAAAGACTGGATATTGCTGGGCCCACACCCCAGAGTGATAACAATCAGGGTCTCAAATTCTACATGAAACTTTGCTCTGTAGAGAGATTCAACTCTCCTATGACAGGGCACAGACTTCCAGGAAGCAGCAGGTTCTTCTGGCTGAATTCCTGAGGCTGTTGCAAGTGTCTTCTAATATGGGGCAGCATAAAGACCTTAAGCTGGGAGTAGTCCTGGAAGGTCACTTACACTGTGAAGCCAGCTAGCTGCTAAGATGGCTATTCCACAGCAACCTCTAACCAGTGGAAAGATGAGGCCAGTACCAGAAGCCAACTCCCAGGACAAGTTGTCCTTCTGCAAGTACTTCAGACACTCAGTGACAGGATATCTGGGCAAGTGGGAAGAGCACCTGTTCCCTGGGCACCTAAGGGACACCGACACAGTGCTATGGGTGGGAATGAAGACCTCAGTCTAGGTCAAGCCTGGAAGGCATGAGGAGTCTGAAGCTGTGCTCCTTAATAAGACTAAAAAGGCTTTTAGGAACTCAGAAGCCCAATGCATCAAGCTTCTTCTAGAGCTCTGCCCTCATGCTGAAGCAGGAAGGTGGCTGCTCCTAGAAGATGAAATAAAACCTCCAATGTGAACCAGGCTCTCATTAGGTTAGCTCCTGCAATTATTACGTTTCCTCTATAACTTCCTAACAAAAATACTCTGAAGACCCATGAGCATGTAGACACTCGGGCTCCACCCAGACCCCTGGCCTGCACCCATCCTGCTGGGCATCATCATCCTGGATCCTTGGCAACTTCCTTCAGTTGGGCTGACCACAGCAGAAGGAGAATGCTAGCAAGAGGCAGGAGGTCTGCGTGCTTCAGCAAGTGAATGCAATGAAGGAAAACGAAGCAAGATCCCCTGCAAAGCCAACAGAGGCAGGGCAACTAAGGACAGAGGGAGGGGGAACAGGCTCTGCAGAAAAGAATCATCTGGTAGATGGTTCAAAGGCCCTTGGAAAAACTGAGGAAATTCTTAACGATTTGCAAAACTTGCACTGACCACGCAGTTGGAGTTGAATGTAAAATACAGCGAATTATCATGAAATCGCCAGAGAACTCAAGTGGTCTTGGCACTTCAATCTGGTCCCTTTAAGAACCAGCTTAGAGTTGGAAATAAATTTTTGTGTTCTGTAACTTTCATGTTTTAGATGATAAAAATCTCACTCCCCACCACCCTTGCCCAAGTTTTATTTTCTGTCAAACTGCAGTCCCATTTAAAGTGGGATCATACTGAACAGCCTGTCGCTGAAGCCAAATTAGCCTCGTGATGATGAGATCCACTATACTTCTCTTTAGCATTTACCTCGAACACTGAATACCTACAGTGCTGGCCAGAAACAGGTGAATTAGGATGTTCGGTTCCCTCCAGGAATCTAACGGGGGACAGACAAGTCAGAGAGTAATGAGTACTCTGGGGATATAAAGGGAGTGCTCTAGGAACAGAAGCAGCAGCAGTTCATTGGGGGGGGGTACCAGGGAAGGCTTCATTAGGAGAGGGCACTGAAGGAGGGCTTTGGAAGATTTTATTAATAACGAGGAATGGGAAGAAGGCATTCCAGGTAAGGACACAGCATGAGCAAAGGCATGACGCTGTGCAAAGCATGGGCTGGCAAGTTCAGGTTGATGCAGCTGAATACACAGGGCAAACAGAGCAGCCAACAATTAAAACTGGGGCCCACTGTGGAGAACACAGAACACCATATTTAGGTATTTGGACTTGGCCTTAATGAGCCAAAGGTTCTAGAGCCCAGAAACTCCTGACAAGAAGCAGTATGGAAAATAGAGCGGAGAAAAGAGGATACACAGGGCAGAGGAGTAAACTGATATGCTTTTAACACAGCACATTTGGAAGATGCTAGTGGCCTTGAGTAGATAATAAAGTGGCAAACTAAGGGACACAGACAACTCTAGAGTGTAACCAACAAGACTTTGTAATCATCCAGGAGAAAGAAGATGGGTATTTCCCAGCAAACAACAAGTTGACCCAGACACTATGCACAGGTGGTGGTGGGACATGCAGGCAGACAGGGAAGGAAGGGCAGCAATCAGGAAAACGTCACCTAGCACAGGGTCAAAATGACCTAGAGGGGACAGGCAGGTGACAAAATGAGCAAAGATGACTACATGAACTACAGGACCATGGGTACTACAGCAGGGCCCACTGGAAACTACTCAGCTCTAGTTCCTTGATGCCATGTGAGAACACAGGCCCCAAAATCACCAGATTAATTTTTTTCAAGAGAAGCCAAACTAAAATAAAAAATCAGATCAAAATCTCCTGATTTTTGGAAATTGTGTACAAACCCATAATACCCTTGCCTAGGGACCAGACCTGACCCTCCGGCCACATGTTTGGGACCTCTCATCTTGTGTACAATTGAAGACTCAATGTCCTGATGGACTGGCCCTGAGATCAAGCTGAAAATAAGGAGGGAAAAGGGCTCATACAAGAGGCAAGCATCTAAAAGCAATTTAAAAGCCAGAAGCACACACAGCACAGTGAAGAGAGGTCTCCAGATAAGGAGATTCACACTCAGAAGCGAGTGCTGCTGGGTGCTGGAGAAAGGCAGCGGGCCAGGAGGTCTGCAGGACAGCATACCTTTAGTGCCAATCCATAGCTGATCTTGTTCTAGCTTGAAGGTGAGTCTCACTTTCCCCCCAGACTTATTGTACATGCCAGACAAAGGTACCGCTGGCAGGCGCTCCTGGAGGTACAACATATGGTGAGAGATGAAGGGATACTTGGGCAGAATAAAGAAGGGACAGATTCAAAAACACAGTTACAGGAACCTCAGAATGTGGGACTAGTTCCTTTTCAGATGCTCACAAAGAATTCAACTTACCTGGACACCCTTAACAGAAGGCATCACATCTTCAGGTTTTCCTTTATCCAACACTTTCCTGTGTTGCTATAAATCAGAAGAGATCATTAAATGAAGCAGCTACATTTTAGTCATATTGCTATCTCTTTGAAAGAAAGACAGGATGAAGAAAACCTTCAAGTTCTGAGTCTAAAACTTTTAATGTTCACAGGTTCTTGACACTGCAGAGCAGTACTGTCCTGATCAAGACTGTGTGGCATTGAAATGTGCTTCTTACTATCAGGGTAGAAACCTTATGAGGTGTGATTCATTATATTGAGCTGTGACTGTTCTGCACCGAAATGTGGCTAGTAAGATTAAGGAGCTGAATTCATTTTACTAAACTTTTAATTAGCCAGATATAGCTACTTTATTAGATACTAAAGTTCTAGAACAAGGAGAATTTCTAGTTTGCTAATTTAAATACTTTACCCTTTTCCCACCCCTCAGGTCACCACTGAAAGCATTAAACCTTCAGCTAAAGAGAGCTGCAGCAGGTGTTGGCCTCCTGGAAGCCAGGAAATGACAACATTTACCAACTTAAACTCCCAAAGAGAACTACAGGATTTTGGTAATCACCTGACTGCTTAGAAAGAACATGTCTTCTCTTTTTTTTTTTTTTTTTATA